GGAGCCTTCCATTTGAAATTATATGTGATGTCAATGACTATGCAGGGGAGTAGTGTAGGGTCAAAGAGTAGGAAATGTTGCTTACGCCATTTACTATACATTGAGGGCCTTGAATGGAGTTCAGCTCAATTACACCACCATTAAAAAGGAGCTCCTAATTATAATTTTTGTTTTAGAAAAATTCAGGTCATATTTATTAAGTGCTAAAGTTATACTCCATGCGGCCGACAAAAGCCAAGATAAAAACCTAATCTAAGTGACTAGTCATTCTCAGCCGAAAAGAAGGAAACTACCTAATTAACTAGTCTCCTATTCTTACTAAACTTATGACGACCCCACCTCTCTCTAGGGCGTACCCAAGGGTTTGGTGGACCGCCTATCCAACTCTCGTCAGGACTCACTCACGTACCATGAAATTTACAAGAAAATAACCTTAATATTAAGAGCGATAACAGTTACAATCTGCAATGTATATACTCCTAGACCTCAAATGCCCATACAATCGATAAATACAGCCAAGTAGTCAACCTTACAAAGATCAAACCAAGCAAGCTAGTTAGAAACCTATGTAGTGCTCATGCAAGTAACTAACAAAACTTAGACAAAGTCGATGCCTTCTCCAATTTCCACTCTCATGTTCTCATCCTGTAAGGAAAACAAATTCATGGAATGAACTAGAAACCCAGTGAGGTTTCAAGAAAACAGGCAAGTGAATTAGCATACATGATGCTATGCACAGGATATCAGGAAACAAGTCAAACTCAAGTAGACCAGGATATAAGGTATAGTAAAGCAAGTAACCAGATCGGTCATGCAATAGTGTATGGAAAAAAAACACATTTATGCCAAAAGGATATAGGCTGCTCTCAGGAGCAGGTTCCACCATAACTTGTCTGGGATCCGTTGACTCTCTGTCAACTATGGCATTATAATGTCTGTAGATCACTACTAAACGTCAATTTCCATCCACCGATCATCCCCCTACCGTACCTGAACGCCAATCAAGTACCCATGGTTCGTTAGTCTCTTGACCAAACCCTTTACCGGTTCGATTCGACCAACTAGCCATGGGGTTGGGCTTATAGTCCCAAGTATTCAAGAATCAAGTATTCATAATATGGCTTAAAACCCCAAGTATTCAAGAATTCACGAGTAGATTCGTTGGTTATTACCCAACGCTCACGCAGGTAATGATTGGAGCTGTTAGCGATCACCTAACGCCCCGTATCAAGCAAGTCATGAGTTCAAGTCAGAAGTAAACAGGTTAGGAAATTCTTCCTTTACCCTAAGGTTGCCCAACTTATCCGACCGCTCTAGGGCTGGTCTCAAGCAAGAGATCCAACGAGAGTTCAGTTCAGCTGTTACCGACCTACATTCATGCATACGCATGAGCAACCCAAGTTCCAACTTACCCGACGTCTTGGATAAGTGTCCAAGGGCCCAGTTCAACCGCTGCAAGAAGAGATGCAGCCAGCCTACAACCATGCATAGGTACATGCAAGTCCACATGCAAGAGTCAAGTATTTCAAGTTTACGGAGGTCGAGTGCAATTAAGGACACACTCGTCTAGACAAGATTAAGTCACAAGTCATATGTATATCAAGTCACTTGTTCATGCATAAACAAGATGTCAAGTGTTTAGTTAAATTAGGTTGAGTGCGATAAAGTACACACTCACCTATGGAGTAACAATTCAAGTGCCGAGCAATTTCTAGCAACAAGTCATATTCAGTCAGGTAACATGGAACATGCAATTGGAACACTCACCATGGCAACAAACTTAAGTGTTTGCTTTAGCAGTACTTCCGGCCTCACCTTCAAGTCCTAAAATCAAGTATGTGAAGTGCCATGAGATCCACTGCTCCAAACTATAATATTCAAAGGAAAACACTTCCAAACCAACCAAGTTATCTCAACTCCAATCATAAAACCAAGTTCAAAATGGTTCTACAACTCCAACTTGAATTTGGAAATGAGAACAAGAACAGCTTTTGAAGAACAGAATTTTCTCCAGTTTTTCGCGATACTATTTGAAAAATCATATCTCAAGTTTCTTAAGTCCAAAATTTATAAACTTTATACCTTTAGAAAATTCACTCAAAGGGTTACAATTTCCCATAAGATACATTTGTAAGATTCTATCCACAATTCAATCAAATTCTAATCTCAAATTACTGCTTCATCCAGTAGAAAAACAGAACAGGTGTGGAAATTCGGTCAATTTTGGAAAATAACAGATATTCATAGAAATTGAGAAAAATTCTGAAATTTACACGGTAGAAAGTACTCTGAATTTAGTTTCAAATGCAATAGACGGAACTCAATTCCGACTTTTCTGTATGAAGTTATAATCAATTTCCTAAAGTTGTGCAGAGCTCTTTGCGAAAATTTTCAGCAAGCCAAAGAATGTTTTTTTCCAAACTTTGCTCTAGCCAAACTCCCCATCTTTCTTTCATGTTTATATAACAAATCCACAATTTAAACTAACCAACATGTTATAAGGCATATAATGTCAATTTCTAACAAAGAAATTGCTTACAAAACTAACTATGTGAAGGTTGAAAATTTTTGCCTTAAGTTAGAATTACAACCAAAGTGGGAAAATTCTATAACAAAACTAAAATTCATACTAAAGCTGAAAATTCCCATGTCAAGACCTAAAAGGCATACAAAGTTGAAAATCACATTCCAAGACTGAAAATTAGCATAACAAGGCTGAAAATTAACTACTAGGGCTGGAAATTCGTATAACAAAGCTAAAAATGCATCTCCAACAAGATATCTGCAGAGGCCCTTCTTGGGCCTGGACACGTGGCAGCCCAGGGCGATCTGGGCTGGGTTTGGACTCCGAGCCCATGGGGAACCAGCCCAGGCCGCACGACGGCTAGGGCTCCCCAGGACTCCCGGGAGCTGCCCCGCAGAGGGTGGGGAGAATCCCCCCTCAGCGCGGGATGGGGAGCTATCCAGGGCAAGTCCCGGAACGTATGGAGGTCGGATTCCTAAACAGGTATAAATGGTAATACATGCCAACTGTACAAAGTACGCTCACTATTGGCAATTTACTCCCGACTGCTTTACTGTTGGAACCTCCCATGAACCCTACTCATCGGAAAGCTAATTTGACCGTCGGAGTGCCCTCGGGGACAACCTCAGGGCCCCTGCCAGTTCACTCTCCTGTTTGTCTTGCAGGCTTGGAACCAACCCTTCCATCAGCACCCCGAGCTCATCAGGTCAGCTCGGTCAGGGGACGTTCCGTGTTTCTTCAGTTGGCGCCGTATGTGGGAACCGAAGGTACGAGTATTTGTGTTGATGGCGAGAACGCGTTCCAAGCGAACCATGGATAACACTGATCCCGGAACCGGTGAGGGATTCCGGCGGTTGGAGATCGAGGCGGCCCGAGGCGCCGGGGGCTCGACCCTTTCTGGGGAACGGAAACAGCAGATCTATCGGTTTGTGACCGAGAATCTCCCCATGCTGGAAGACATAATCCGGCAGGCGAAGGAGGGGGGTGAGGCTGGCAGTGCGCAGACCTCTAAGGCGAAGGGGAAGGAGAGGGAGTCGCTCCCCATCCCCTCAGAAGACGAGTCACGGGACCAGCACCCCAGGAGGAAACGACCGCGGACTCCTCCCAGGCCACGGGCCTCGGTGGTCGGGGACAGTGACAGGTGTTCTCCCGACCGGTCCTCCGGGGGTCGACTGAGGAACCCCTCCTCATGGAAGCTTGCGCGGAACGAGTCGGAGCGCTCCCCCGCCCGGTCTATCAGGAGTCAGCCGCGGGACCCTTCCCAATGGCAGCCCGTCCGGGACGAGCTCGAGCAGATCCTGCGACCACAACAGTACGAGGACAACTACGCAGCCTCGCCCTTCACCCGAGAGGTAGAGGACTACCCGTTACCTCGGAGGTTCAAAATTCTGAACATCGAGCTGTACGATGGCTCGACTGACCCGGAAGACCACCTCTCGGTCTTCCTGACGCACATGCGTCTACAAACCGCCGCGGATGCCCTCCGTTGCAAGACCTTCCCCATGTTTCTGAAGGGTAAGGCCCGGCTCTGGTTCCAGGGCCTAGCGCCGGGGTCTATCCGGAATTTGACCGAGCTGGCCAGACAGTTCGCTGCCCAGTTCGTCTCCTCGAAGACTTACTCGAAAAACGCGGCTCACCTAATGGCCGTCAAGGAGAAGCCGGACGAGTCCCTGAAGAATTTCATGACGCGTTTCAATACAGAAAGCCTGCAGATTAGGGACAAGGATGAAAAGGTGGTCATGGCTGCCTTCATGAACGGGCTAAGGGTGGAGGAGCTCTACTACAAGCTTGTCGAACAGCCCCCCAAGAATCTGGGAGAGCTCTTGACCCGGGCTCACGCCGCCGCCAACGCAGAGGAGGCCGGCTGCCTGAAACGAGAGTCAGATCGGGAACTCGAGGACCGGAGAGGACGGGAAAACCCCCCTGAAACCAAGGACGGCCAGGCCAGGATGAACGTCTTCGATCGCCTCTCCAAGGATAAGGCCCCCGCTCAACCGCCGCTCCCGAAAAAAGGGTATACACCCCTAACTCGGCCCAGGGCCCAGATCCTAGCTGTCATGGAGACAGAGGGCCTGGGAGACCGGCCGCCTAAAATGGGCACACCTCGGAATAAGAGGAACCAGGACCGGTACTGTGCCTTCCACAGGGACGTCGGGCATGACACTGAGGGGTGCTGGGTCCTGAAGAGGGAAATCGAGGACCTTGTCCAACGCGGCTTCTTGGGGCGATTTGTGCGGCAAGGTCGCCCAGGCCAGGAGCCGGGACGCACCTACCGTGGAGAAAGAGGCGAGGGCCAGCATCGTGACCGACCTGATCGGCGTGGAGCGCCCCGGGGTTATTCCCCCGACCAGGATGCCCAGAACTTGGCTGGTGTGATAAACACCATTGCTGGCGGTCCCACGGGGGGGATAGCCATGCAGCTCCGAAGAACAAGCGATCTCCCCCCTAGGGGGATGCCTCCCTAAAACGCCTGCGCATGGATAAGGAGATCACCTTCGGGCCGAGGGACGCGGTCCCCCTAGCATCTGGGAACCATGAGGCCATCGTCATCGATGTTGTGACCAACAACTATCGGGTGAAGAAGGTGTACGTCGACCAAGAGAGTGCGGTCGACAATATGTTTTATCGGGTGTTCAGGGAGCTCGGCTTGGAGGACGGACAGCTGACCCAGGTTCGGACACCCCTGGTGGGCTTTACCGGACCGCCTGTCAACCCGGAGGGAATGATCACCCTGATGGTCACGGTAGGGCAAACCCCCAAGTGCCGGACCATCCCTGTCAATTTCGTGGTGGTCAAGCAGCCATCCCCGTATAACATATTCCTTGGTCGGCCTGTTTTAAATGCCCTCCGAGCCATTCCCTCAACGCTCCACCTCAGCGTCAAGTTTCCCACCCCGGGAGGGGTTGCCGAGGTGCATGGAGATCCGGAGGTGGCCCGAACTTGTTACCTAACCATGCTCCGGGGACACGAGAAGGTGGTCGCTCAGGCGATCAGCTTGGAACCTTACATCTCGGGGGAGGAGGAACGGCAGCGGGGCACTCAGGACGAGATCGAGGAATTCCCATTAAGGGAGGACAGGCCTGACCAGGTAATCCGCATCGGAGCGTCACTACTGCCCAAGGAGAAGGATGACCTAAAGGCCCTCCTGAGGGAGTACGCCCAGGTTTTCGCATGGACGGTAGAGGATATGCCCGAAATTCCGACCGACCTGGCCGTCCACCACCTCAACATAGACCCCCGCTTTAAGCCCGTGAAGCAGAAGAAGAGAAACTTCGCTCCTGAGAGAAATGAGGCGATCAGGAAGGAGGTCGGAAAGCTGCTGGAATCCAAAATCATCATGGAGGTCTACTACCCGACCTGGCTAGCCAACCCTGTCCTGGTTAAGAAGGAGGACCAGTCCTGGAGGATGTGCGTTGACTTCACAGATCTCAATAAAGCCTGCCCGAAGGACTGCTTCCCCTTACCAAGGATCGACAGGTTAGTAGATGCTACTGTTGGTTTTGACGTCTTGTGTTTCCTCGATGCTTTTAAGGGGTACCATCAGATCGAGATGGCCGAGGAGAATCGAGAAAAAACGTCGTTCATCACCGAGGAAGGAACCTACTGCTACCGGACGATGCCGTTCGGGCTGAAGAACGCCGGAGCTACATACCAGCGTTAAGTCAATAAGTTGTTCCAGGACCAGATCGGCAGGAGCATGGAAGTCTACGTGGACGATATGATCGTCAAGAGCCGAACTGATCAGCAGCTCGTTCCCACCCTAAGGGAAATTTGAGCATCCTGCGAGAGAGCCGGATGCGGTTGAATCCAAAGAAGTGCACTTTCGGAGTTAGGTCGGGCCGGTTCCTCGGTTTCTTGGTCTCCCGAGAAGGAATCCGGGCCAACCCCGAAAAATTCCAGGCTATCATGGACATGTCCGCCCCGAGGAACGTGAAGGAGGTCCAGCGGCTCACAGGGAGGATGGCCGCTCTGAATAGATTCCTCTCGCGTTCCGCGATCAGGGGGCTGCCCTTCTTTCGAATCCTGAAAGCCCCCAAAGACTTCCAATGGACTGAGGAATGCCAGAAAGCCTTCGCAGACCTGAAGGCCTATCTCGCCGAGCTGCCTACCCTGACCGCTCCGGAGCAGGGGGAAACCCTGTTCCTATACCTATCTGCTTGCAACGAGGCCGTTAGCTCGGTCTTAGTGCGAGAGGACGGGGGGACTCAGAGGCCGATATATTACGTCAGCCGCGCTCTACAGGGACCAGAGACGCGGTACGTGCCGGCGGAAAAGCTGGTCCTGGCCCTGGTGCACGCTGCTCGTAAGCTCCGACCTTACTTCCAGGCCCACAGCATCGTGGTCATGACCGATCAGCCCCTGGGACAGATCCTCACAAAGCCTGAGGTTTCAGGTAGGATGACCAAATGGGCCGTCGAGCTCGCCGAGCACGACATCAGCTACCAGCCCCGCACCGCAATCAAGGCTCAGGCCCTAGCGAATCTCCTCGTCGAGGGAGCCAGCCTGTCCACCGTTGAGACGAGCTCTTGGCCCGAGGAGGCCGAGCCGGAAGAGCCTTGGGTGCTATTCGTGGACGGGACTACGAGTAAGGAGGGAAGCGGAGCTGGCCTGCTGCTCACCTTGCCCACAGGGGAAGAGCTAACCTATGCACTCAGGTTCGACTTCCCGACATCCAACAACGAGACCGAGTACGAAGCCCTACTGACAGGGCTGCGGATAGCCCACCAGATGGGCGTGACCGCGATCAGGGTCCGGAGCGACTCTCAGTTCGTAGTCTATCAAGTCCGCGGGGAGTACGAGACCAAGGAGGACGTCATGAAAAAGTATTTGGTTAAGGTGCAGGAGGCGATAAAGCTTTTTAACCTCTTTGAGATCGAGCGGGTGCCACGGTCACAGAACAAGCGGGCGGACGCCCTGTCGAAACTGGCGTCCTTCTCGTTTGCCCACCTGAGTAAGGAAGTCTTGGTGGAGGTAGTCAAACAAAAAAGCATCGACCAGATCCAGGTCTTGGCTAAAGCCGGCACAGCAACTTGGATGACCCCTCTAGTGGACCTTCTCAGCTCGGGTGCCCTACCCGATGACAAAAATGAGGCTCGCAGACTCCAGCTCCGAACTGCCAAATACGCCTACGCCGGGGGGACCCTCTACAGGAGGTCGTACTTGTCTCTCTGGCTAAAGTGCGTAACTCCCGAGGAGGGCGACTATGTCCTTAGAAAAGTGCACGAAGGCTTGTGCGCGGCACACGTCAGGTCCCGAGCCCTAGCAAAAAAATGCCTGCTCTTAGGCTACTATTGGCCCTCGGTGTTTCGTGATGCTGCAGCTCTGGTTCAAAAATGCCGCGCATGCCAGGTGCATGCCCCGCTGCGTCACCAACCCACCCGGGAGATGGTCCCCATCCACAGTCCCTGGCCTTTCGCCCAGTGGGGGATAGACCTCGTGGGTCCCTTCCCCCGAGCTCCGGGCAGGTACGAACACCTCGTGGTAGCCATCGACTATTTCACGAAGTGGATGGAAGCCGAACCCCTGGCCACTATCTCCGGTAGGGCAATTCAGAAGTTCTTCTGGAAAAACATAGTCTGCAGCTTCAGAATCCCGCATGTCCTAATATCCGACAACGGGCGACAATTTGCTGAAAATTCTTTCAAAAGTTGGTGCGCCGAGCTCGGGATTAACCAGCACTTCACCTCGGTTGGACACCCCCAGACCAACGGTCAGGTGGAGAATGTCAACCGAACCGTTCTGCAGGGGCTAAAGACTAGGTTGGAGCTAGCCCAGTCTAATTGACTAGATGAACTACCTAGCGTCCTCTGGGCTTACCGCACTACGCCTAGGACGGCCACACACGAGACCCCGTTCTCCCTAACTTACGGAGTAGAGGCGGTGGTACCCGCGGAGATTGGTCTTCCCTCGCCCGGGATACAGAATTTCGTTGTGTCAGCCAACGAGGAAGAGCTGAGGTACAACTTGGACACGCTGGAGGCCAAGCGTGAGGAAGCGGCGGTCCGGATGGCTAAGTACAAAAGCCAGCTCGCCCGTTATCATAACGCCAGAGTAAGGACCATACAATACCAGCCGGGGGACCTCGTCCTAAGGAAAAACTCGGTCAGCCGAGCTCATGGCTCCAACAAGCTCGACTGGAACTGGGAGGGCCCTTACCAGGTCCTCGAGGCAAGCCGAGATGGCTACTGCAAGCTCGCGAAAATAGATGGATCAGAGGTACCCCGCACTTGGCACTTCTCAAATCTGCGACTGTTTGTAGCATAGGTTAGACAAGGGGGTCCGTTTGTCTGTTTTTTGGATTTCCAGTTTCAGTTTCATTACTCAATAATAGCTCGCTTATTCGTGATTTTATTTGTACTTGTTTGATTTTTAAGTTTGAATCTTACACTAGCACACTTAGCGTTCCCTCACTAAATGTCCTAGTGGGGGGCTAGGGGGTAGTACTGGATGCGAGAGTGTTCGCAAGAGTGTTCGACCCCAGGAGGTCGGCACTACTGAAAAACTCTAAAAGATTCTGAAAATTCCACGCTCGACCAAGGAGGTCGGCGGGGAAAACCCTTAAGGATTTGGTGCTCAGTCTCAAGAGGCTGGCTCGTTGCCCTGGTAGGGCGGCGTGGTGCTCGACCCGGGAGGTCGGTACAGGTTTTCGACAATCTGTTTCCTATTTCCCTCTAATGATTTAGTTGTTAGATTAACGGGGGTATGTATTTGATGCTCGACCAAGGAGGTCGGCACCTGGTTTCGGTTGTTGCAGTGGGGTGCAGGAAAGAATTGTAAGAAAGACTCCTTCGAACTTCGTATATACATTCAAAGCCTATCTACTACAGAACTCCCAGCCTATCTATTACAAAGCCTACCGAGCTATACAGGGAAGAGGGGAACCTAGCTACGCCTTTCTTCTTGCTGGCGACCTACTTGAGGTAGGAGCTGAGGGTACACCTTAAGTATGTTGAGAGATAGGAGCTGAAGGTGCACCTTAAGCATGTTGGGGGTCGGGTGGAGAAGGCTATTAAAAAGGATCTGGGGAGTCTTTCCGTTTCAGATGGACCTTCAAGAGCATTTTCAACTGGAGCATGGTCACATCCTTATGTCGGGTGGAGATGGCTGTTAAAAAGGACCTGGGGGGGCTTTTCCATCTCAAATGGACCTTCAAGAGCATTTTCAATTGGAGCATGGTCACATCCTTATAAGGAGACGGAAAGGGTTTCTGGAGTGGCCGCTACCCTAGGCCACAGGCTCCTTCCCGGAAGCCCTGCCAGGAGTCTCCTCCTCCTCCAAGGGAAGCTCCGCCAGCTCTGCCCCCACGTCGCTCCTTCCATCAGTTCCTTCAGGGCATGCCCCTTGCGGTACCCATCGAAGAGCCAGTTCAGCTTCTCCTCGGCCGCAGGATTGTAGTCCTTGAAATCCGTCAAGTTGAAGTCGGGTGGGTTGAGGCCCTTCACCTTGTCCAGGGTCCGCGTGGCGTCGATCTGGAAGATAGGTTGGTTGAGCCAGGTGACGTCATCGGCGAACTGATCGGAGCAGATAAAGTCCCGGACAGCCTTCTTGCGCTCCCAGCTGATGGCGCCAGAGAGCTCAAAGGCGTGCTCCTCCTTCAGCTTCGCCACGCCCTTCTTCTCCTGGTCCAGCTCGGACCGGGTAGAGGCGAGCTGGACCTGGGAGTCCTCCAGCCCCTTTTCAGCCTTGCCCAACTTGGCCTTAAGGGAGTCTACCTCCTTAAGGGCCTTGGTCAGCTTCTGCTCGGCCTCCCGATTCTTCTTTTGCATCTTTTCCAAGTCGGGAGACAGTTCGGAGAAGCGGGTCACCAGGGCAGCACCGGCGGCGTTGGCCTAAGGAAATGAGAGTAGGAGTTAGCACACTACTAACCCCATTCAGAAAAAGAGCAGGGGGCCAAGGGGCCTAAAAAGGAGAGGGCTTACTTGGGCATGGGCGGTGTAGTACATGTCCTGGAGCTCGAACGGGCTGGCCAGCTCCATCCACTTCTTGTCACGTTGAAGGATTGAGCCCGTGACCAACTCGCGAGTCACCTCGGGGAATTGGGCTCGGTCATTGATGTAGAGCTCCCAGGACGGGCAGAAGCGCCGGGGATCATGCATTGTGGGGGCCTGTCCCGGCTTCGAGGGGGCCACATGGCGGAAATGCCACAAGCTCGGGGGGCGCTCTCCTGGGCGTGCTCCTCGGCGGAGCCTACCCCCAAGTGGACGGGGCCCCCAGATGTCAGCTGGAGAGGGCGCTGTGCCTGGCCCTGGGCAGGCTTCTTCCCGGGCTGGGAGGGCTCGTCCTCTCGCCCCCTCTTCGGCCCTGGAGCCTTCTTTTTGTTGGGGGCCTGCTTGGAGGGGAACTGAGTCGCAGAGGCCTCTTTCTGGGGGGCTGAGCTGCCCCCAGGAGTCGCGGAGGCCTCAGGGGCCTTCTTTGCCGCCTCAGACTGTGTGGTGGAGGCGACCTCCTCAGTCGGCACGCCCAGCAGTTTGGAGAGTCTCTTCACTGCGAAAAGCAACACTGGATTAGTGCCAGGAGTCAGAGAAACAGATAACAAGGAAACGAATAACAAGGGACCAGGAGCAGTATTACAGGTATCTCGGTCGACAGGGGAGAACTCCGCCCCTCCGGGGGACCCGGACAGCTTCCCCAACTGCCCGGCTGCGAAAATCTGCTCAGTGGAGAACTTGACTGCGTACAGTTTCGTTGCAGAGCCCAGCAGTTGGCCGAAGGCCTCAGGGTCCAGGTCCTCCGGGCAGGGGTCGTTCTCGACCCCCCCAACCTTCCACGCATTGGGAGGAAATTGCGTAGTTTTGACTAAAAAGAAGTCCCCTTTCCAGTTCTTCACGGAAGAGGGGACCCCGTAGAGGAAATCTTGGGCGCCCTTCCAACCGCTGCCGCTGGTGGAGCGGCGGCAGAAATAGTACCACCCAGGGAGAGAAGCCTTGAGGACGTAGATAGTGCAGAAGAGAGAGAGGGAGTAGGGGATGGAGCAGATCTGGCAGTAGATCAGGAACCCGATGATGCTCCTGATCGAGTTGGGGTGGACCTTGGTGATCCTAAGCCCCCAGAAGCTCAGGATCTCGGCCAGGGCCGGAGGAATGGGGAGTCGAAGCCCCGCGACTAGCCGCTCTTTGTAGATGGCTACAAAGCTTGGGGGAGGTCGGCAAGCCCGGTCGGTGGGTCCGGCAACTCGCGGCTCGAAGGCCGGAGGAATGGAGTATGATGCGGCCAGCTCGGCCACCGCCCCGAGCGAGAGGGTGGTCTCCTCCCAGTCGGGGTGGCCATAGTTGAACTCAGGGTCATCCCCCTGCTTGGCAGCAGGGGTCCCCTCGGAGGAGTCCCTGTCCTCCCCAGCTCCCCCCTGGGTTTCGCCAGGAGAGTTATGAGGGGACTTAGGGGACGGAGTGGAAGTGGCTTGATGCTGGATGTAGGCATCAAGCTCGACTGTCTCCTTCAGGAGTCGGGCGGAAAGAGAATGGGCGGAAGGAGAATGGGCAGAGGGAGAACTCATGATGTCAATAGGCTCAAGCAAATCAGGAATGAGAAAATTGGGGTTGGAAGCAGAGGATGAAGAAGTGGGGGGAGGAGATGATGAAGATGAAGATGAAGACGAGGACGAAGAGGAGATGAAGATTCTGGTGGCTCTACGGCGGACCGGAGTCTGGGATGTGGTGGACGTGACGTCGGAGAAACCCGACATAAAATGTAGGGGGTGACAAAAGGAGGAAAGGGAATGCGAACGAAAAAGGTAAAGGACTTACTAGTGGACGAGGAATGTGTTGGAGTTGAAGTAGTAAATAGGGTCGCCGGAATCTGGATGCTGTTGGCCGGAAATGCGCTACTGGAAATTGGAAATGCACGAGGAAGGGAGAAAGTGGCAAATAGAGTTAACTGGAATTTGGCAGCCCCTATTTATAGGGAGCGAAATGGGGGGGAAACGGTTGGCTTGAATTTGAACCGCCCCATGTGAACGCATTTAATAGAGGTACGGAGACCGAAGGGACGCGACAACTGAAAATACGCGGACGCCACTTCCCAATGTCAGCACTGTACCGGAGGTGGCCGCGGCAGAGCGGTGTGATGATGGGCTTCCACGTGGCAGGGGGATAGATCAGGTTTGCCTGGGAGCCTGACCTAATCTAGGGGGCTAGTGCAGAGGCCCTTCTTGGGCCTGGACACGTGGCAGCCTAGGGCGATCTGGGCTGGGTTTGGACTCCGAGCCCATGGGGAACCAGCCCAGGCCGCACGACGGCTAGGGCTCCCCAGGACTCCCGGGAGCTGCCCCGCAGAGGGCGGGGAAAATCCCCCTCAGCGCGGGATGGGGAGCTATCCAGGGCAAGTCCTGGAACGTACGGAGGTCGGACTCCTAAACAGGTATAAATGGTAACACATGCCAACTGTACAAGGTACGCTCACTATTGGCAATTTACTCCCGACTGCTTTACTGTTGGAACCTCCCGTGAACCCTACTCACCGGAAAGCTAACTTGACCGTCGGAGTGCCCTCGGGGACAACCTCAGGGCCCCTACCAGTTCACTCTCCTATTTGTCTTGCAGGCTTGGAACCAGCCCTTCCATCAGCACCCCGAGCTCATCAGGTCAGCTCGGTCAGGGGAAGTTCCGTGCTTCTTCAATATCCAGGCCCACAAGTCATATCAAAACTAGAAGTTTTCATCTCAAGGCTGGACAATTATAACTCAAAGTTGGAAAATTCAATCAACCTCACAAAACCATGAAATCTTTCTCAAACCTTCCATAATCAAGTCATATATCCATCAAAAAAGAAAGATAAGAAAGAAAAGAAGGTTTCTTAACTTGATACCTTCAAACCCTAGGAAGAAATGCAACCAAGAGCTTCCTTTTTCCCCAAATCTCTCCACAAGAGCCTTTCTTCCTTCCTTGTCACAATTTTCTATGGATTGAAGTAAGATTCTAGAATAAATTTTTCAAGAATTCAAGCAAGGGACCAAGTTGAAATTTTAGAGTTTTTCCCTCTCTTTTCTTGCTAGGAAGTTCGACCAAGAAGTAGAAAGAAATGAAGGGAATTTTGACCCAACTTTTAAGAGAAAGTTCAAAAGAAGTCTTGATCAAAGTTCCATAAATGAGTGACACTTGGCAAGGCACGAAAGTGACACTTGGCAGGGCAAGAAAGTGACACTTAGCAAGGCAATGATTAGTGTCTAATTAATGACCTAATTATCTTGGTTGGATAGGAAGAAAATTTGGTCTTAGTCAAAGTTAAGATTCTATGGTTTTATGACAAATGGTAAATCAAGAGCTAATCCTTATCTAATTATCTTTCAAACACTAAAATATCTAGCCAACTTCTAATTATCTCTTCACTCCTTATAAATAATATCCCTTTGCATCCAACTCCTCCTAATCTTCCAAATTTATCATACACACCTCACTAGTGGGTCCCATTTTCATAAATGCTCTAACTTATAAAAGACAAATAATAAAATCTTGACTCACTTATAAAGTATCCAAGAAATTAAGGCAAATAAAATAAAGTAAAAATAATTGTATCCAAGAAAATAAGATACAATATAAAATAAGTTTTCCGGTCCTCACAAAACTACTATTACTAATTCAAATCAAATTAGAAAGTCTATAACAATCATCTGATAAAACATCTGTGACCCCACTTTCGAGACTTAAATGCACAGCTGGATAATACGTGTCCACTCCTGAGCCTCCTTAGGATGTGCAGAGTTTAACTTTGGCGTGACCACACCGATCAGCAAATTTAGCGAAAAACTCACATCTTTTCTCTTTTTATCCAAGTCTCTGCAACTAGCACAAATTACCAAAAGTAAATAGAATCTGCTAATTAACATAATATTTGGTAAGATGAAAGAGGGAAATAATTATAAAATTAATGACACAAATGTAACTTATCATAAACTATCTTCGTGTTTGGGGTTGTTTGGCATATGTTAGATTAGCTAATCTAGATTCCTAATTTAGATATTAGAGCTAAAATGTGAGCATTTGTTGGATACGCCTTAACCATTAAAGCTTATAAATTTTATGACATAGAAAGTAACATTATAATAGGATCACTTGATTCAATTTTTCATGAAAAAAATTTTCATTTAAATTAAGAATTAGTGGGGGTGAAGAGGAAAAATAATAAATCGTGAAAATGAAACTAGTTCTTCACATTTTAAAAATTCTGGAACTAATGAAAATTTGAGAAGAAGCAAAAGAGCTAGAGTAGAAAAAGACTTTGGGCCAAATGATTTAGTTTACAATGTAGATGGTGATCCAAAACTATAGAAGACATTTTAAACTCACCTGATTCTGTTTTGTGGAAAGAAGCTATAAATGAAGAGATGGAATCTTTATTGTCAAGTAAAACTTGGAAGTTAGTTGATTTACCTACTAGTTGTAAAACTATTGGATATAAATGGGTACTTAGAAGAAAATTAAAATCAGATGGTACAATACATAAACATAAAAGCAAGACTTGTAGTTAAAGGATTTAAGCAAAACGAAAACGTAGACTTTTTTAATACTTATTCACCAGTAACAAGAGTTACATCAATAAGATTGCTTATAGTTATTGTTGCCACTCATAATCTTCAAAATTCATCAAATGAATGTAAAAACAGTTTTTTGAATGGAGCTTTAGAAGAAGAATATGTATGGATCAAACGCAAGGTTTTATACAGCCTAGTCATGAAAACAAAATTTGTAAGTTAACAAGATCTTTATGTGTTTTGAAACAAGTTCCTAAGCAATGGCATGAAAAAATGGATAAGAGCATGATGTCAAACAATTTTAAAATAAATGAAAGCGATAAATGTATTTACTATAAATCTATTGCAGATGATCATGTTATTATATGCTTGTATGTTGATGATCTTTTAATTTTTGGGATTGATTTGAATATTATTGAAAATACCAAGGGGTTACTAAAACGTAATTTTGATATGGAAGATCTAGGTGAACCTAATGTAATATTTGGTATGACAATTGCTAGAACCTCTAGAGAAATTATGTTAGATCAAGCACATTATATTGAAAAAATACTTAAAAATATATTATGACTTCTCCTTTTGATTCTATTGTGCATTTATACCTAACTGAGAATGATGCATTTGTGTTAAATTAGCATAAATATGCAAGTATAATTGGAAGTTTGATATATGCCATTGATTGTATTCGACCAGATATTGCTTATGCTGTAAATATTTTGGGTAGATTTACAAGTAAACCTAGTTATGATCATTGGAATGCTATTGTTCATGTTATGAAATACCTTAAAGGTACTATAAATTATGGTTTACATTATAAAAATTATCTGGCTATTCTAGAAGGGTTTAATGATGCAAATTTAAATTCTCAATCTGGTGATTCATTATCTACCACTGTTTATATTTTTATTTTGGGTGGTGCAACTGTGTGTTGGAGATCTAAAAAACAACACATTATTGCTAAATCTGCTATGGAAGCTGAGCTTATAGCTTTAGCTTCTGTTGGTGAAGAGGTTAGTTGGTTAAGAGATTTAATATCTAAAATGCTCATTTGGGATAAACTAATACCACCTATACTTTTACATTGTGATAGTACTGCTACAATTGGTAGAGTATATAACAAATATTATAATGAAAAGTCCAAAGCTATTAGAAGAAAATACAGTATTGTGAGATCATAATTATGTGATAGTGCTACAAATATAGACCATGTGAGATCAAAAGAAATCTCGCTGATCCATTAATGAAAGCTTTAGTTAGAGAACAAAATTTTCAAACATCAAAGGGAATGAGACTTAAGCCTAAAAATTTTTAAATTGAAACCTTCTATAAGGATACAACTATCTAGGGACTAGAGATCTCAAGAACTAGGTCAAGAACAAACGAATCATAGAATGGTTTGGGTGAAAAGCATGCATATATTTTAAAATTCCTCCATATGGTGTAAAGTGTGCATGTGATTCTATGACGAAGAAAAGATTAAGATTTGATATAAATCTTTTAATGAGTTCTATAGCCCTTTATGGGTTGGATGCCTTAGGAGTATTCTTAATAGACTCACCTATATGAGTGTGGAAGTAAATGCCACTCCCTATGAGAATTTGGTTAATTCTCTAAGGTACTCATGAATCTAGGATAAAGCACAAGGCCGTAATGTGCTGGTTTAAGAAGTTTGTTAATTAATATCTTGAATATCATGTATATGACATAATCTTACATATCTTAAAGTAGTCTTAGTTTCAAGGCTTTAGTCCACTTTGACTCTAATATGAGGATTATGAAAATACTAAATGAAGGTTTCAAGGTAATGCCACTTTCATTATACATGATGTTCTCACTTTGTCCAAATTTTTATCTCTTTCAAATTTTATTAAAATAAGTGGCGGAATGTCAATGTATTTTAATAAAATCTTAAATTTTCCTTCACCAGTGTAATTTATTTGGGAGTTATGAGAATTCTAATGTTGGGAGTTACAATACATTTTTGAATGGAGTTATTATACAATTATTTGAATAGGAGTTACAAATGAATAATTTGGTCAAATGAATAATTATTGAGTCATTATAAGCCATTCAAACATGAATCAATTTTTAGGTTACAAATTCTACATTTTAACTACAATTTAATGTGAAAAAATCATTATACATTGAACTTGAACATTCAACCTATTTTCTAAAGGTTTTTGTAGTCTATAAAGAGTGAAGTTCTTTGGAGAATTTCTTACACACTTCTCTCAATATAAGATTATTCTAAATATTACTTTTCCATATACTCATTTCTTTCTCTCTCATTCTAATTTTCTTTGGGTAAAGTAAGATATTGGAAAGTTTCTGCTTCTCTTGGTTGTGCAGATCAAAGGGAAGCAACAACAAAGATTTGGGCTGTTGTATCCTAGAGGCGGTGCGCTAGATCTTTTACATCAGTTAAAAGAAAATACCGTAGGGGAGTGTATCACCTTACAGAGAGCATTCAACGTACCTCAATCCTACCGGACTTCTTAGTAGCTGTCAAATTCGAGATGGTTAGCTTGAACATCAGAAATTATTTGTGTACTCCCCTCTAACATAAATTGTAGTAGGATCGTCTACTTTTTGCAACAGTGGTATCAGAACCTCGTTTCTTTACAAGAATCAATGGCGGTAGATACTAGATCTCAGGACTCCAAGAAATTGGAGGAGAACATGCTAGCTTTGTTGAGAGAGCAGAGAGAACAGTTTGAAAGGGAAATGGCAGCCCTAAAATCACTAGTTCTGGAGCTTCACTCTCAGAGAAGTCCATATGTAACCAATTCTTCAGGAACCGATTGGCACACCAACCAGAATAGGGGCTATCAAGCTCTGACAAAGTTCTCCAGGATGGATTTTTCAAAGTTCTTTAGTGAAGATTTTAGTGGGTAGTTATACAAAGCGGAGCTGTTCTTTGATATGGATGAAACACCAGCCATTGTGAAAGTTAAGATGGCGGCAATACATCTAGAGGGCAAGGTTCTTCAATGGTACTAGGTGTTCATGAGATCAAGAATCACTAGAGAGCTGCCCAACTGGGAGGAGTACGTCCAAGAAATGTCATCCAGATTTGGTGACTATCTGTATAATAATCCCATGAGTGAGTTGATGAGTCTAACGCAGAGAGGCATGGTGAGGAAGTATCAAGAGGTGTTAGAGGAATTGTTGAATAGACTTAAACTTTCAAAGGATTATGTTGTTAATTGCTTCTTGAGTGGTCTGAAGGAGGAGATTCAACTTGCTGTGAGGATGTTCATGCCTAAATCATTGCATCATGCTCAGAGTCTAGCAATAATGGAAGAAGCTAAACCCTTGTGTCATCATAAAGGTAAATAGATTCCTAAGTCTTCTCTGCTTGTCCAGACTTACTGTAGTAGCACTGCATGTAATAGCCATACTTATAAAACTACTAAACCTTTATTGCATTCTCGTATATTGTCATTACACTCATGCTCTCAAGAATCATCTAGCAAGAAACATTTTAAGAGGTCGAGCAGTTTAGAAAAAACTGGGGATTTCTTGGGCCTCACTGGCTACTACGAAAGGTTTATCAGAGATTATGGGAAGATTGTCAAACCTCTTATAGACTTGTTCAGGCAAAATTGGTTTGAGTGGACTCCTGAAGCTACTCTAATCTTTCAGTTTCTTAATTCTGTTATGACAACAGCTCCAATCCTTGCACTTCCTGATTTTTCTTTGAAATTTTTACTGGAAACAAATGCCTCAAGAGGAGGTATTGGTGCTGTTCTTTCTCAGAAAGGAAGACCTATAGCCTTTTTTAGTAAGACTCTAGTAATATCACATCAAGCACTATTAGTATATGAACATGAGATGATGGTCATATTTACTGTTGTATAGAAGTGGAGACCTTATCTACTTGGAAGGTACTTTATCATTAAAACTGGCCATTAGAGCAATGAATATATGATGGAACAAAGATTGAACACTCTTATGCAGCAGAAATAGAAGGCTAAGCTGGTAAGATTTGATTTTAAGCTTCACTACAGGAAAGAAGCAGATAATATGGTAGGAGATGCTCCCTCTAGAAGACCAGCAGAACTAGGAGAAGTTGTTGCCATTATCATTGTTTACAGTGATTATTGACAGTGATTAAAAAGGGATGACAAATAGATATAAGGCTACAGTGTTGGCCTAATCAGTAACATCCCTCAGATCCCGGCTCGAAGGGACTAACCGGCCAATCCGTGGCACCCAGGGGTGTAGCCTCTCATGCTGGCCGAGCGTGGTACGGTGCTTTCCGCTGCCATTGTGGTTAAGGAAATAAAGTTGCGCTTTCGCTAACAGTTATAGCTTTTGGTGCAATGGTAAGCGCTTGATCCTGACAAGTGGTATCAGAGCGAGGTCACGGGTTCGAGTCTCCCTGGCTGTTGCTGGGGGAGGGATTGTTGGCCTAATCACCAACATTCCTCAGATCCTGGCTCGAAGGGACTAACCGCCCAGCCCGTGGCACCCAGGGGTGCAGCTCCTCATGCTGGCCGAGCGTGGCACGGTGCTTTGTGCTGCTATTGTGGTTAAGAAAATAAAGTTGTGCCTTCGCTAACAGTTATAGCTTTTGGTGCAATGGTAAGCGCTTGATCCTGACATACAGACCTTGATCACTCAATTACAATGATCTTTCTAAGGTCTCACCTTATTACACATGGAGCAACTAGCAGTTAAGGAGGAAAGGGAGACTAGTGGTAGAAAATGACAGCCAATTCAAGAATAATATAATTCACTTGTGGCATTCTAGTGCTGTTGGAGGCATTCAGGAGTTTATGCTGCCTGAAAGAAGTTGAAGTCAGTGGTTTATTAGAGAAGAATGTATCAAGACATAGTCAACTATGTGGCTGCATGTGATGTCTGTCAGCGCAACAAATCTGATAATACTGCTTATCTAGGTTTATTACAACTTTTACGTGTGCCTCAAAAGGCTTGGAGTGAATTTCCATGGACTTTATGGAAGGTTTACCAAATGCACATGGTAAACAAGCCATCTTGCTGGTGGTTGAAAGGTTAAGTTTGCACACTTCTCGATAGTTGCACATATTCCTGGATCAAATCTATAGACTTCGCGGGTTGTTTCAAAGCATTGTTAGTGACAAGGATGTGGTCTTCATTAGCACTTTTTGGCAAGAACTTTTTAAGTTACTAAAAGTACAGATTAACAGCTCTTCTACCTACCACCCTTAGTCAGATGTTCAAATTGAGGTAGTAAATAGGTGTTTGGATTAATATTTGAGGTACATGTGTGGAGATTTTCCAAAGCAGTGTCTGTCTAGTTACCCTTGGCTGAATATTGGTACAATGCCAACTTTCATACTGCTACTAAAGTTATCCAATTTGAGGTGGTGTATGGTCATGCACTATCCCTGCTTCTGCCTTATCTACTTGGGAATTCAGTAGCAGAAGTGGTGGATAGAATCTTGGCAGCAAGAGAGACAGTTTTGTATCACTTAAAGCATAACCTTCATAAGGCGTAAAACTGGATGAAGCAACAAGCTGACCAACACAGGTCTGACAAACAATTCCAGGTAGGAGATTGGGTATATGTGAAGCTTGCAACTGTAGATGCCAACACTCTTGTCAGAAGTTAGCTTCCAAGTTTTTTTGAACCTTTCCAAGTGATCAAAAGAGTACACCCTGTTGCATATCAGCTTTAGCTTCCTAATATGGAAAAAAATACACTCTATTTTTTATGTATCTCTTTTGAAGAAGAAAGTGGGCACTCTCTAGTTAAATCACACATCCCTTTTGCAATCAATACACAGGGATAATTATAATGGAGCCTATAGCCATACTTGATCAGAAATTAATGAAATGTTGTAACTCTCTTGCTACAAAAGTTTTGGTGCAATGAAGCAATTCTTTTCTTGAAGATGCTATTTGGGGGTTCTGGTTTGACCTTAAATAGCAGTTAAATTTAATCCTTGAGGACAAGAATTCTCTGAGGGGTAGGTATTTGTTACCTTAGTTTTATTGACAAGGATTTTTTTTGTAATAAAGCAAGTATGATAGGGACTTAATGAATAAATTCTTATAATTCTTGTGTGTCAGTTAATTTTTTGTAATGAATTAGCTGACTTGGACAAGTGTAGTAGTAAAATAAAAGAGAGGAATGTGGTTAGTTGAAGGCAGTTCTTGAATTTCCGGTTTCTCTTACTTGTAACTAATTATCATCTTTATCTACATTCTTTCTACTCATTCATCAACCAATAACAATCCCTAATTCTCCGAGTTGTCTTCTTCATTTCTTGATTGCAGTTCTTTGAATTAGTAAATTGTAGTGGGATCTTCTACTTTCTGCAATATTCACTTTCAAGTGCTGTTTGTTTTTTGAATAACGATATAGTCTTTGATACTATTTTCTTTGTTTTCTGACTTTGACAGCATTAGATTCATGAGTAAAGGATTATATCCCATATTGATCCGAAAGATAGAGAAAGAGCGATTAATATGTAAATAAGGGTCCATGACCTAATGATTTAAATTTTTGGATCATAATTGGGTTCCTAACTTATATATTAGCCTCTTTGGTTGACTTTCTCAGGCATTTCCTCCCTATCAAATTGGTATCAGAGTTTCAGGTTGCAAGACTGGGCTAATCATGAGCAAGTGGATCCTTCTCGGAATTGGATCAATGAAATTTTTCTTCTTGGTGGTTGACTGAAGTGCTAAAGAGTTTGGTTGATGTTGGACCAGGTGCGCTATGGATTTGACAGGGGGTTAGATTGGTGTTAGATCAAGGAGGCAAAGATTGGCAGTGGTCCAAAATACAGTTTAGATACTAAAGAAGAGTGGATCCATGTTTGAGAGAAGAGGTGACCTTAAATGATAATGTGAACTTGCGTTGAGTATTAAAATGGGTTTGAAGAAGGGTTGTAAATTTGGGTTTAATATAGGGGTTACTCATGAAGGGGAAGATTTGTTAGATTCATGAGTAAAGGGTTATGTCCTACATTGGTCCAAGAAATAGAGCAAGAGCGGTTGATATGTAAATAAGGGTCCAAGACCTAATGATTTAAACTTTTGGGTCATAATTGGGTTCCTAACTTACATATTAGGTTCTTTGGTGGACTCTCTTGAGATATTTCTCTCTATCAAATATTTGTTAGGAAATTGACGTAATTTCTTTTACACATGTTTCTTATTTTACGTGAAAATAACTAGTTTTCTAATTAATTTTACTTACCTAAAATAGTAGCCAAGGAATTTCCTATTTTGTTTAGGATTAGAAGTTATTTCCTATTCTATGTAAGTCTAGCAATTAGAATTAAATTCTTGTTGTTATTTGGATTTTGGCCAAATAATGTTCCCTATAAATAGGTAAATTGACATACTACAAAGAGACACACAAGGGTAACATATAGTCTTATATAAGGGTGGTAAGAGAGGATTCTTGGGAGATGAGAGATGGTATACAAGGGTTAGATTTGGGTTCAAATTGTATTCTTGTATAGGGCTTTCCTCTCATAATAAAGAACAAATTTCTTTCATGCTTGTGGCTTATTTGTCATTAAATTGTTATGCACTTGATATCTCAATAGTTATGTGTTCCGCGTTTAGATACTAACAAGTGGTATCATATGCTGGTTGCGAGACTGGATTGCTTTCAAACACTTGGATCCTAATAAACTGAACGGTTGGATCAAGAGTTTCGTTGTTCAAGGTTGGATCCTAGTTAATTATTGAGATCAAATGTGTTAGTAGCTATTACTATTTAAACAATTTAATGAGTGGTATTCTTGTTTTAATGACTTGACAAAAAGTATTGATGGTGAAGGATGGGAAGTCGAAAAACATGGAGGCACTTGACAGCAAATCTAATAGGTGATTCAAAGGTAAAAAAAAAGGTTAAGTCTAATGTTGATTTTGAACATGAATGGGTGGAG